CCGTTTTGTTCTGGGTTACGCTTACTGGTCGCATCATATACCTACCGAAGAGGGTGGTGGTGTAGTAGGCCTCGGTTATGATGAGGAAGACGCCATAGAGGGCCGCGAGGTGGATGTGGATGTGGAAGAGCACGCTGGGCCAGCTGCTGTCCCTGGCGGCCATCTTGTCCACCTCCTCGGCCTGCGCGCCTGGTTGCTGCTGGTGTGCCGACATTCCTAATCGAACACGAAAATAGTCACATACATTGTGCATTCATTTGTACCAATTATCTCGCAGAGCTCGCCTTTTCACTTCGGTCAGCGCCGGGCGCAGCGGACTAGCCGTGTGATACGTGGTCGGCGGGGTGAGCGGGGTGCGGGTGGGCCACTGAGGACGCTCGGGCCAAAGGTTGGACACCGCTTTGTGTGCTAATGTATGCCACGGTGCCCAGGCCCAGCGCCCCACACCTGCCTACGTAGTTACCGTCACCCACAACCGCGGCGGCGCGCGGCAGCTCACGGCAGCTACTCGTGGCCGTGGCGATTCCCTCTACCCCTGCTGTCAATGCCGCGTTTTACACGCGAAAAAATGCTCCACTAAATCGACTACATGCAAAAAATATCACACCAATGAGGTGGCTGATTAACAGAACTCTGTAGTTATGCTGTACCGCATTCGTAGGTGCGGGCGGGTTGCCTACTCGCTCGGCCCGTCAGGGGACCCGTACGGTCGGACGGGGGCGATGGGCAAGCACGCCCGCACCCGAACGTGCGGTACACTTTAACTTCATAAGAATATTTTCTTCGATCGGACGATAAATTACAGGCCTGTTCCTTAGAACAAGTCAGCAGAAATTTAGTTGAGACCCTACTGCCGTCATGATCCGTTCCTTGACGAAACTTTGTAGTATAAAATAAGCAAATACAGTATGGTTTAACCCATCTTCGCCCAAGCTGCATTTCTCCTCAGCATACAAGACGATGTTGGATCACTTCTGCACGTGATTTGACTTATTTGGTGAATTGTTTCGCCTGAGCTCCACGTGTACCGGGTTTACCAGAGAGCAGAGCGAACACCCCAGAGTTGAGGGTTTGCGCACCCCCTCCGCTGGTAAGTCACCGTGGTCTCTGCGTCTTTTAAGGTTAGGCAAACCCGCAAAAACTGGGGTGCTCCCGCTGCCTCTGACACACCCGGTGCACCTGTCTCACACCACCCCTCTTGCCAGGACCCAGTCGCTGCCGCAGCACGCGTCGGCCCCCTGCGGCCTCGCGGCGTGCGGGTGCTGAGTCACCCTAAGCGGGCGAAATACGAAACCGCCGTTGTTGCAAGTGTCCAAAGTTTGGACACTGCCAACTCCTCGCCACCAATGGAAAAACAAACACTCTATACAACAAACGCTGTAGCGTCCGTCGATGGTGCGTCGCATCTGGTCAACGTTTCAGACACGATGCTGATGATGGTATAGTGGATCAGGTAGTTCAGTACTCACTGTGCTTTCTCGAGTCTCCCTGCGCCTCCGACCCCTTCGCGTCGGGCTTCCTCAACGGACTGAGGAAGGGCAGTCCGCTGACGGCGGCAGTACAACGTGTCGCGGCCGGCGCGGCCGCCTAGGCCGACGACGCGGAGGGTCAGACGGGTCCGGAAACTGCCCCTCCCCCCTCTTCTCCTGCCAGGGGAAAGGGGTGAGGGGAAGAGGACTTTCCGTAAGTAAGCAAATCCGTCCGCGCTGTCTTCTCTGAATCACTAGGTACAACCGACTTGTAATTTGGATGACCAAAGGTAAGGTTTCCTCATCATATGAACATTTCGTTTTACTTGAAAAAATAAGAAAAAGAACTAGTAAAAAAACAAAAAAAAAACCACTGTTGTCAGTTTTGCTACAGTGTGTCATAGGTGATATTATTTAAAAAAGGTCAATGACAACTATTGAACTACTTTTATTTTTATTTATTTTTCAGGTATTCTCAAAGTATGACAAATATTTTGACGGTGAAAAAACAAAATGTGTCCTGCCATGCTGCAGTCTCCTACGCACCACCTACGATGGAAAGTGGTCGGAAAGTGGGGAAGGTGTCCCTGTCCACCGACAAATGGCAATTTGCATGTATATGCTTAACAAACAGGAAAAAGGAAGAAGTAGTGACAAAAAATAAGACATTGATTTTTAAAAAAACGAAGAGAGGAACAAAAATAATAAATGTGATTTATTATAGATTTATGCTTTCTCCTACTTATGATATTCAGCATTGCAAAATAGCATCAGCATTATCTGTTAGTACATACAACCTTTAGAAATTGAAATGTTTCTATCATATAAACACATATCAAACTAGGTTCGCCTTTTGCAACTACAAAATGGAGAGCTGATTTACAGTTACATTAGGAAATGGTACTTATGGTTGGTGAGAGAGATCGCACGTATTTCTCACAGCACATGTGGTATTTGTAACAATGTTGTCATATGAACATGGAGTACATACAATAAGAAATGTGAGTGCCCAAAATAACACTTCACATTCACAATTAAGTTATGGTATTTGATACTGAGCAGAGCAGACTTTATGTGTAAGGACCTTCTGAATGAGGCATTCCGCACACTTTAATCTAGACTAGTTTTACTCAAAATAACAATGGACGCGCTTCAGGAGTTTAATCTTAATTAACAAACTACTCTATAAATTATGAAATAGATGAAATCAACAAATTAAAAATGAGGGTGCTCAACAACAGGTTCTACGCACATTGTATTCACATAGATTTCTTGTGATCGTAATTCAATTTTTCTTAAAGCTTGAGGGGGACCGCAAACCACTTCTGAGGCTCCTCATACCCACATTCACCCATACATCACAAAAACATTGGAGGTAAGTGTAGCTTTGGATACATACAACAATGACGCGGATCAGCGGCATCGTGACCCCGGGCGGTGCCCAGGGGGACCCCGGGGGCGGTCAGTCACATCGGCCCGGTGCGGCTAGGGCCGCGTCACACGCAGGCCGCCCGCGCCCCAACCCGCGCCCCCGTGATGTGGCATATTGTCCGTGAACTTGCACTGAAAACCACGTCAACGTCGAGCTCAACTTAGCTACGCGAAGCTACGCGAAGCTACGCGAAGCTACGCGGAGCTACGCGGGCGCGCAGGCGCAGGGCAAAGGTCGCCCTCGGCCTACGAGGCCTTGGTGGCAGGCGCCGCCTCCTCGGCGGGCCGCGTGTCCGGGTGCAGGGCCGCGCCGAACATGCCCGCGCCCGTGCCGTCGCCGCAGCGCTCGACGCGTCGCCGCACCACCCGGTCGTCGGCAGAGCGCCGGTCCCAGGCCCAGCCCAGGGCCGCGAACGCGTCGATGAACTGCGTGGACAGGTTGATGCGCCCGTTGCCCAGCTCGCCGGTGCGGTAGTCCCAGGGGAACACGTGGTGGTAGTTGTGCCAGCCCTCGCCGATCGCCAGCAGGCCCAGGATGGGCGACTCGACCGGGCTGATGTCCCTGCGGGCCAAAGGAGACGACAGGGTTAGGAGATTCAGTGCCCCCCCTCAATATTGACAGACTGGACTTTGGACTCGTTTCGTTTCGATTTCGTGTCTGCTAGGACTGCGCGTGGTGCGGAGTAGGCCGCCCATCGTGCACAAGGGCGGAGCGGCGCCCGATGGGTTGCCTACCCACCAGGCGGCCCGAGCGACTCACTTGTCGTATGGCCGGTAGCCGTGGGTGTGGGCGAGGCTGTTGATGAGGAAGGCGATGTTGAGGGTGGCGGAGAAGCGCGCGTTGAAGTTGACCCAGAACGAGGCCCACAGCGACTCCTCCCAGAAGTAGACAGGGATCAGG